CAAAAGCAGAGCCCGGGTTTCGGAGTCACTTGCCGGGAGGGCTCCGGGCGCGGTGGTACCCCAAAAAATGGGTGAGACCGAGGGGCGGAAGCACCTAGAGTGCATCCATTTCAAAATATGATTTTTACTTAGATTTGTTGTTCTGTCCCCGGGCTGAAATCATCTCTCCTTTCTCCTCCCTGTAGGAAAATGCTGAAAACCAACAACAAACCCAAAGTAGCCCCTGGAGACCCCCTGATCATCCCCCCGAAAGCTGAAACCCCAAAGCTCTTCCAGGCTGCCCTGGCTGCCACGGGCAGGCTGGGGGGCAAAGGGCCGCTGGCCCAGCTCCGGTGGAGGCTGAAGGAGCTGAAGGCGATGCAGGAGACCCAGGTCAGCGCGGGGAGAACGTTGTTGTCCCATGGCGGCTCCTTCTGCAACACGAGAGGGAAATCCGTGGATGTTTTGCCTGGTTATGCTAACCTGATTCTGACTGAGAAAGGAATTTTTTTGCAATGAGGGCGGTGAAACCCTGGCACAATTTGCCTGGGGAGGTGCTGGAGGCTCCATCCCTGGAGACACCCAAGGTCGGGCTGGATGGGGCTCTGGGCAACCTGATCCAGTCAGAGATGTCCCTGCTCGCTGCGGGGGTTTGGACTAGAGGATTTTTAAAGGTCCTTTCCCAGCACGGAATTGTGCAGCCTGTCCCATCTCGACGGGGCAGTGAAAGAGCGGCTGATAGGGAGTGCGCGGTGACCTTGAGCTGGAGATAACCGGGAGGCGCCGATAACTGTGTTCCCTCCACAGAAGCACCACGAGGCCTCGCACAGCGCCGTGCTAGGCACTAATTAACAACCAGTGGACTGTGGCACCCTGTGGCCGTGGGGACAAGAGCTGACATTGAACCCGTATCAGGAGCTAATCCCGCGAATGGGGTTAGTAGGACCCCGTCAGAAGGACGTTCCTCTCCACGGCACGTCCGTAGAGGAGGGTGCTGAGATTTCTTTCTAAAGGAAGCTTCAGGACAGGGCAGTCCAGGGCTGTTCCCTCATAACAACGCTTCTGCCAAGATAAACTCAGCACCTCCGATAGCAAAATGAGAGCTGGCACAGGAGGTGTGAGAAAGCTTCCTTGTGCTCCTCTCTGTGGGCTTCTCCCCAGATGAAACCCAGAGAGGTGGTAGATTCCCCATCCCTGGGAACGCTCAAGGTCGGGTTGGATGGGGCTCTGAGCAGCCTCATCTAGTTAAAGATCTCCCTGCAGGAGGGTTGGGCTAGATGATCTTTAAGGTTCCTTCCATCCCAAAAAATTCTGAGAGTCTAAGATGTGCAGGATATATGGCCCAGCTGCCCTTCTCGCAGGGCTTGGCTTTGGCAGCGAGCTGTCATCCCGATGATGAGGCTGAGCGTGGTGAAAGCTGATGAAACACCTGCGTGGCTTGCACAGACGTAGTTGGGGGTAGGAGACAAGGGTCTGCTGAGGCTGATTTTCCCTCCTTTTCTTTTTTATTGTTCTTGTGTTACAGGATTCTAGCATCAGCCCCATTCCACCGAAATCACCAGTGCACCAGAGATCACCTGTCGCCTCCCACAAAGCACCCGCCCACCCAGGAGAAGAAATGTGCTCCAAATCTTCCGACAGTTTGGTGACCATCCGCGTGATTTCTACTGCTCACGAGGGCGAAGAAATCCTGGCGGCTGAGATTTCGGAGGAAGAAGGAAAAAAAGAGAAATGAAGAGCCACCAGCTCCTGGGGTTGGGGGTAGGAGTCAGCCTGGAGTAGAAGCTTCTCGCCGTGACGGGGTTCCACGCCGTGGCTGTAGGCTTTGCTGAGCGCTGCGGGTAGCATCTGCCTTTCTTCTCTGCCTAGACCTTGCTGGTCAAACCCTCTGCCATATGATCCAGAACCATACAAGGTTTTCCACACTCTGGAGAGCTATTTTTATGGAGTCAGCCCTCTCGCTTCAAAATGCAGAGAGGGGAGCCATGAGGGAAATTGCTTTTTATGGCTCTGGGCGGTTAATGAGTGCTGAGACAAAGCGTGAAGAGTTATTCACCTCTGACAGCTGAGTCACCACTTGGCCAGAAATGAGCGGAATAGAAACAAGAAGGTTTCTCTGTTGGGCTCAAGGTTGTCAGCGGCAGCTGGAGAGTGACTCATCCAAAAAGAACTTGGACTATGCTCAGAAGCGGAGAACGGACCGAATCACACCATCACCAGGAGGCCAAGGTCCATCCTGGTGGGTAGATGCTTGAGAGTCCTGGTACGATGCCAAGACCACCTTGGGTTTGCCTCTGGGAAGAGGAGCTCCTGCCAGCGATCCACCCTGGGGAGGCGGTGGGCTCTCCGTCACCGGTGGCTGTTGCGAAGACACTTGAGAGCACTCTTCAGGGATGGAGAAGACAATCCTGGGTGAGGAGATGTTCCTGGAGATCCCTTCCAGCCCTGGCTTTCCACAGGAGCACCAGCTTGCTGCTGCCAGGAGGGATAAACTGAGCGCGGGAAGGCAGAAGCCGTGTTGGTTTCCAGCTGGGGTGGGAAAGAGAAGTGGAGGAATTGCTCTCTTTTCCCAACCAGCATCTCGGCGAGGTCCATAGCACACAAACAAGCATGCGACTGGTCTCCTGAGCTCAGTGCTGGACCACAGCGACCCACCGTGTTTCCAGCAGCCAATTCCCAGCCCGTTTTGGTCACTTGGTTGGCTCTTGGCCATGTTTCCCATGGAGAAGCTGCTCCGGTTTGCCCGTTGCTGCTTGTGAAGACGTTCTCCCAATTGTGCTGGGATCGAGTGCCGGGTGGGAAGGCGAACGCCTGGGTAGCAGCCAGCCCCGCCCAGCCGATGGCTTGAGGTGTCCCATCTTCCTCCAGCACCACCAGTTCCTCATCTTCCCCAAATCCAGCACCAACCGGAGCGAGCCGCTGGTGAGATGAAAGGTGATGAGAAGCGATGGCTGAGGTGAGGTGGCGGAGGTCCTCCTCAAGGCTTTGGCTGGCTTTGTTGAGAGGAGATGGTTTCCATCCTCCAGAGGAAAAGCTGGGGTGGGTTTTGCCACCGAGAGCAGCCCCGGCACCACGGCTGAGGGGCTTTTCAGGTGTTCCACAAACTGGTCGCGCTGATCTGGCCATGGGACAGTTCGTGGAGGACATCAGCCTCCAAACATGGCTCCTCACCTCCCACCAGCTCTTCTTATTCTGTTCCATCTTTTTCCCTCTCTTGCAAAATAGATGGCGGAAAAGCCAGCGTGTCTGTCGGTGTTAATTAACAATGACTTGCTCTTTTTTAAACAAATTTGATGAGCTCCAATACACCGCAGGATGATCGGAAGCCACCAGTGCCCTTAACGCGTCAAGGGGAAACCTGGCCTCACCCAAACCTCCCGGAATATTTCTTCTCCTCAGTCATTTGCAAGTGGCTTCTTGCTGGGCAGAAGGTTTCTCTGGGGCGTGCAAAGTGGTTTTCGTGTTCACTGTGCAAATATTTATAGAATTAAACCAGGAAACATTCAAAAGTCAAACCGGGGTTCTGATTTGCTGCTAGGATTTGGTACGGTTTAGAATAAGTGTTTAAATACATAGTGGGCTGTGATGGCTTTCATAATTCACTATATATATCTGCAATAAACACCACGTGGATTACCGTTCATTTACTGTGGATTTATTTCAAAATTCCAGTTTTTCTTCATCTTTTCACTCACTGATGCACTGATGGAGCCGAGAAAGTCCCCTCAGACCTTCAGAAAGATTTTTAGAGGCTCAGAGGTCACATAATACTAGTAGAAGAATTGTAATTTTAATTGCTGGAAGGAGGGGGGGAAAAGCTTTTTTAAATGGCAAATACTTGTGTGAAGACCTTAGTTTCCAGCACGCAGCGTTAGATGGTGATGGATACAGAACTGGTAATTCTGGAATTGCAGGGAGATTTGAAATCACCCTCTGCTGCGATCTGTTTACTGCTTTAGCTCTTTAGAGAGATTATTCTCCAGGTAATAATTAAGGTCAAGGTAGCGTAGGGTTTACAGGCGGGGCTGAGCTTAGGTCTCTTTGCCGTGCCGGGCTGTTCATGTAGGCTGAGATGGGCGGCTCGTTGAGTGCCTCTCGGTTTGGGGGTTGCCGTAAATTGGTTTTCTGCTGGATTTGGTTGGTCATCAGGTTTTGCAACGGGCTGCCTTCGCTTCAGTTCTGTTCAACACCTCGCGGCGGAGAGCACTTATCGCAGGGCTGCTCCCTTCCTGCCCTCGCGATGTCCCCGACGGAGCCGGTAACGCTCCCCGTGGACCTTTGCTGATTTTCTTATTAGCTTTTTCTCCCCTGCTTTGATGTCCTTCAGTGTTGGGTCGATCCCGTAGGACACCCTCTAACGACATTAACGGCGTGGTCAGGGGGGAGAGCACCCTGGAAATCCCACCTCACAGTCTTCCTCCTGACTTATATCGATGGATTTCTCAGAGGTCTGTAGTCATAGAAACCAGGTTTTATTGCGCCAGTATTTCAGCTGTTGCTGCTTTTGAGTGAAATAATGGAAATAAGAAGGAAGAAGCAGAGCTTGATGGTGTTGGAGATGTGCTCACATGTTTGGTTTTGCCTCTTGCTATCACAAGTAGCATCTTTACTGGAGTCTTTATGTACTTTGTGCATATATATATACACTTTTACACATATATAGACACACACACATATATATATACACATATGCTTTTTATATATATTCATATTCTTACACTTTTATACATATATAGACACACACACATATATATACACACATATGCTTTTTATATATATTCATATTCTGTGTGTTACATCTTTCAGAAAAATGATGCTGACGTTCTGTACAAAGGCAGAGAAGACAAATGTCTCCAATTAAAAGAAAAAAATCAACATACAAAAGGAATAATATACCCCAGCACAGGCTATGGAGGCAGTTGTTTTCCTCTGGGCAGGTACCTTCTCGGTATTTATAGTCGGAGCAATCTTTTAAAAAGATTAAGCACAATTGCAGGTTAATCACTGATAAGGTTGTAAGGAAAGTAAAAACAAATAAGCAGGTCTGGGGATTAGGCTCAGGTCTTGAAAGAAATGGCAGGACAAATGGAAAGCCCAGTTAAATGGTGTTTAATTAGGAAGCTTGAAATAAAATTAAGCACTTTAACCTTGAAATCTGGAGACCTTAACCAGCAGGACGTGCTCCTAATTCTGGGAACAGCCTGTAAACCACTTTTTCTGCCTATGTGTATTTTTTCCTGTTGTGTAGATCTCCTTTGTGTCACGGCTGCGATTCCCTGAATCCCCTTTACCTTCCTCTAACACAGAGCTAGTACGAGTCTGGTTTTCTCTGCCTCAAGCACACAGCTCCTTTCAAGTGCAGGAATGGTCTCACCGCAGTTAACACCAGGGGGGAAAAAAAAGCCAGACCACCATTTGGGAAGGGGATCAAGGTGTTGGGCGCCCACGCCAGCATTTATGAACAGTGGCTTAATGACATTTTTCCTCTTATTCTTTCCACATTTACACATTCTGGGATGAAACTTTCCTACTTTGGGGTGATCTGGGCGATACCCAGCAAGTCGGGTTTGAGCCGCCTGAAGAAGTAAAGCCTGGATGCTCACGCCGCTCCGTGCGTCTTTTCTCTGCTTTCAGAAGCCGCTTGATGCACAAGAAGGGCTGGAAGGGCAGTTTAAGCCCCCCCAAAAAATGCTTTCTTGGATAAATTGAAAGGAATTCAAGGAGGGGATGTGAGTGGTGGGAGAGGTGAGATGAATCAGGTTGTGGGGATGTTGCCCAAGGCCACCACTTCTTGCCCAGCTCAGCTGTCCAGAATTTGGGCTGCCTGAGCACCCTTTGCTATCCGCAGCCTCCCAGCCACAGGTCTCCCCGGGGACGGTCCCGATTCACCCTGGGGACAAGTGTCTTAGCAATAGCTGGAGGAATGAAGACCAGCCAGACTAGCTACTCATTCCAGATAAGAGGCTCTTTTGTGCTGCAGAAATACCAATACCACGTGAACAAAAACAAAAAAAATAAATATCTCCGCTGCCATGGTTACCAGCCTTGGCAGTGACAGGGCTGCTCCTTGCCCCTTTGCAAGGGGAAATTCCAGCTGTGAAATCTCCATTATGACCCAAAAAAAAGGAGGGGAGATGCCTGCGAGGGCTGCCTGACCCTTGCTGCGTGCAGGGTCGCTGGGCGTCGCGATCCAAGCTCGCTCAATCCCTCGCCCACATTACTTTCAAAAGTGAGAAAACGGTGCTGCGGCCCGGGCGGGCAGAGATCGGTTCTGCCTCTTTTCCTGTTTTTCTGACGTTTAGGAACTTGACCTCCTGGCGCTCTCGCTGGTTTTTTTTCACACTTCTCATTACAGTGCTTTCCTGAACACTAATTAGGGCGGTTTTCCTTTTGTAAATTAGCCCGATAGGATCTGTGTGTCTTGGCAGACACTCTCCGGAGCAGCAACCGAGGTCTTTTACATTTGATCACTGTTATTTTGTAAATCTCCCTATTTTTACTGTTCTTGGCTGCTTTCTAGAAAGCACTGGCAGGTTCATGGGAGGGAAATGGGGTTTTGCAGCCTACCTGGAGAAACCGGAGCGATTTCGGTGCTACAGGGACCTTCCGGGTGATGTGGGTGGATGGCATGGTGTGGGGATGGAGGACTGGTTTCCTCGGAGCTCTATCCCATCCCATTCCTTCCCATCCCTATCCTATCCCATCCCATTGCATCCCTTCTCATCCCTATCCTAT